AATGTAGCAGAAAGCTTTCAGCACCAAGGACAAGGCCATTTAAAAATTTGGCCCACGTACATGTTTTAAGGCTTATACAATACACAATCCATTACATCCCTCCCTCCACACACATGTGGGCTGTTACAAAAAAAACTTAACCCCGGCCTTCAACGGATAAGCAATGTAGCAGAAGGCTTTCAGCACCAAGGACAGGACCAATTAAAAAAATACATGTAATGAAAATAAAAAACAAAATTTTTCTACTGCAATGGTGACCAAAAATCCAGAGAAAACCGTAAAAAATCAAGGTTTCGCACAGGTGCAGTACATTCTGCCGACGTGCTATGTACCTTGTACTGTTAACATCCCGGCTGTAGTGACTGAGCCGATCTCATTGCTGGCCACACAGGTGTACTGTCCTGTATCAGACAGCACCGTGGAGGCGATGTGCAGCAGGATGTCTCCGTTATCGCTGTACGACATGCTGAAGCGCGAGCTGGGGGACAGCAGCATCTGGTCGGGACCTCTCCACGAGACGGAGGGGCGGGGGCGGCCGCACACGTGGCACGTCAGCGTGGCCGGGTCACCGAGCTGGACGGTCGTGTTGGTCAACTGTTGGAGAAACTCTGGGGCAGCTGTGAAACAAACAGTAGGATGTTAACATTTCAAGCTTCAAAGGCAAATAGATCATTACTACTGTCAGTCACACTCTAAAGAGACTATGATTTATATTGTGCAAAAACAGGATGGTACAATCCTTTACAAATTGGATTTGACATCAAATACAAAATAAAGATCACACAATAAATTATACACATGGCGGGTTAGGCTTCCAATATGCAAATGTAGATGAAAACACTTGGAGGATTAGTTTCTCTCCAAGAACAACAATCACTATAAAAACAGTAGTTTACAAAAAGTTGCCTGAAATCAGTTCAATTTTGTTTCATGTAAGCACGAAAGACGAAAAAGATCAGTTGATCTTATACTTTGTGACATGAGCCTTACAAAGAGATGTGTGTACCTACCATCATACATGTAATTAGGGTTCAGCAGCTGAAAAATAAGTACAGTTCCTTTAGTAAACATACATGTGCAAAAAATTAATTCTTACACAATCAAAACTGAGAAGCTAGTCACTGTCATATTTAAGGAGTAGACAAGTATAGAAATGACTTCTAGGCAATCATTCAGAAGGAATGCAAATTGAGATAATGTTTTAAGTGTTAAACTGTTACCTTGACGGAGACTTTAGTTCCATGAGGATCCTTGTCCTTAGACTTGGTTCTGTAGCCGTTCTTACTGGAGTGGGTGGGGCTGGCCTTGTCTTTCTTCTCACCTCGTTTCTTCTTGTGGAACCAAGACTTATTCCTGTAACATCACACAATCAGTGTATCATTACATACATTTCTATGTAAGATGTATGGTATTTATTTAAATGGAAAATGAAAGAACAAGACAGAAAACTGTCCTGAATCCCTTGCTAACTCTTCTGTCTCAATCATTTTGTTAACAGTTGTTTGCAATTACAATACACTGTAAGGTTGCTACGTCTAAAAAAAAATTACAAGTGAAGCAAAACTGCTACCTCCCAAAAATCAGAGACTTAAACCTCAACTTGCTAAGTTCTTGGGCAACAAATTTGTACTGGTTTTCAGGTTGAAAGCAGGGAGAAGGTTAACTACAGTAACCTAAAAAAATCAAGCATCTTTAGTACTTGGACAGAAATAAAAAAAAAACTGCCATACTTGGTAGCATTTTCCCCGTCTGTCCCGTCCTTGGCACACCCCAGCACGTCCCCCGGGATCCAGCCCTCCGCGGCGGGCGACTCCTCCGTGGCGGCACGGTGCACCAGGAACATGTTGTGCTGATTGGTGGCCAGGATCTGCACCAGCTCGCCCTTAAACACCGTGATCTCGTCCTCCTTGATGGCGTTGTACGTCTGCTTCACGTCAAGCTCCGTCGGTACGCCATAGTCGCTCTGGAAGGAAATCAAACCATGGAAATCTTAGTCTTGTAAGTTTGGTTTAATTTTTCTTTTTAATGCCCACGATCATGATAATGATCATTCTGGCATGCTCATTTTCACCTGAGTGAAGTGAGGAAAGTCGTGTGAAGTGCCTTTCCCAAGGGCCCAAGATTGGTGACAGGGTTTGGGTTCGAGACAAACATGCTACCGCTACGCCACACGATCCCACCCTAAGTTGGCTTGCAATTCATAGATTTCCTCTACCTCATTCAACTATAACATGAATTTGAAGATCTCAGAATCGTGGTTTTACTATTACCAAACATTGCATCCTACACAGTTGTGTGCAGTGAAATTCTCCCCCTTCATGAAATGAAAGTTGAAAGTCAAAGGAGACTAGTTATAACATACCCCAGACTCTGAAGCCTCTGATCTCTGTGAGTAATCGCTGGTGTGGCTGGACATGGAACAGTCGCTCGTGGCGCTCATTCTGTTTTCCACGTTTCTCTTCTTCACCGGTGACATCTGACCCTTCGCCGCTCCGTTCGCGCCCATGAAATTCGCCTGAGTCCGTGTTGGGGACGACGGCTCCTTCCCCTTCCCTGCCCAAAAGTTCGGCTTGAGATTATCCAACAGTTTGCGCTTGTTGTTAGGTGAGGAGCTCGCGCTGCCCTGCTGATCTTTGAAGGGAAAACGTCGATCTGAAGACGATCCACTGCTCTCTCCAGACGGGGAATTCAGGGGGGAGGATTCCTTGGAAAATTCCATGGGGATCGGAGAGAGACACGGAGAGTTTGGAGTGGTTGGGGAACCTAAGGGAGGGGTTGGGAGAGAGATTTTCCGGCTCTTGTTCATTCGAGGCAGACTGTGGCTTCCGTCCATCATACTGTTTTCCTTGTTGATCATGAGGGCGGGGACAGAATGCTTCCGGAAGGTGGACTTGGAGTCAGGGAGGCTGTTGGTGGAGCCGCAGTTAGACTGACAGTTCTGCTGGGTGAGGATGGAGGGAGGGGAGCCTGGGACGGGGTTCGGACTGGAGAAGCTTTTTCTCAACGTGTTACTGGCGTACAGGACATCCCGCTGGTACTCTATAGGGGACTGGAGGGCTGAAAGCAAAATGAAAGTTTTCAGTGAGTTTAGCCAAAACAGGTGATGATGGAGGAAAATTTTCTTTAAACAAATACTAGGAAACAAATAAGTCCAGAAATTGCAAACGTAATGTAAAATATGGAATCATTAGAAATGTGTGCATCTTTACTAGAACAATCTCCAATAGAGGTATCAGGACAAAAAACATTTCAAAATCAAACTAGTTGAACAAAATCTATCTAGTTTTTTGCAAGATTTTTTAACGGCTGGATGCCCTTCCTAACGCCAATCCAAGCCCTAGTAGGGCCCAGGATCCCTCTAACTGAGGGGGGAAATGCAACACATAAGAATGCACCCTCTCATAAGGAGTTGCAATAAAAGAATCTACAGAAGTTTTACCTCTGATGAAGTCCTTCTGTCTGTCCAGCAGCATGCTGATCTCAGCGACCCATGTCTCCCTGATGTCTGGTGCTGGAGCCTGCAGGATGTAACAGTCCTCACCGTCTCGGGTCTTTGACATCAGGCTGAACTTGGTCGGGTCATTGTCAACATCAGGCATCATCGACATGTCTTTCACCTAGAAAAATGAAGATTTTATATTAGTTGAACATAGATCTTTCCTATAAAGTCATGTTTTCATAATTATTTCAGGATGGACAAAAATCGGTGTGTAAAGATATGGAGAGAGGTGCCATTGAAATAAGCTTAATTACAAAATAATTGAATTGGCAGGAAATACTGCTTGCAAAATATGCAGGAAATTCATGATCAGAGGGTCATGATTTTGAAATTTTCCCGGCCCTGAACATATAATGTTGCCTCTAACAAAACTGAGATGATGGAAAAAAACTTTAGGCTGGCTAGAACTGGTGCAAAGTCAGTCTCCTCACCTTGATGCATCCCTTGTACAGGTAGCCTGGGTTGCTCAGGCCCTTCTTGTGGTCCAGTGGTTCGCTGAAGATGACAATCTGTTCGAAGAGGAAGACTCTTCTCTCCTTCCCCTTCCACTGCAGCAGACTGCTGTTGTCTGACACGATCATGGGGTCATGGAGCAGCAGCTTGCCCTGGGCATTGATGTTACCCTGTTGATGTGGACAATCATTGTTAGAAACGACTAACATATTTAAACTATCCCTAACACAAATCTACATTTTACCAGCCCGAATAGTTTTTCTTTCTCAAGTTATGTGTGAATTGCTTTTAATGTCTGAATCTGTACCCTGATGTTAACCTGCTTGTTA